ACCATTAAGAATAGATAACAGAACTAATTCTTAGGTGGAGAAAAATCACAAAGACCTTTCTGTAGCCAATATGCTATTTTAAATGAAAGAGTCCCAGTGAATCAGGTTGTGTTCCCTGGCAACAGACCCAGAGAGGGAGAGCTGCAGATGTATAACCAGGAGATTAATACCTTCAGATGGAGAACTTGTTAGGAACTGCTCTCCAGAGGTAAGTGCACTATATCTGCCTGTGTAAGGAAGTGGGAAAGGCAAGACTGGGCAAGGGAGAAGGTGCCCTCAACTTTTGCTTGCAATTCAGCACATCCTGGGGGAACACAGGAGCTGGATGGCCCATGGCATTTGCTGTTCAAAAAGTAGGCTGCTATATCTCTGTGTTAGCCAGTCATTGGGATGCTCACTGGGAAAGTGTAGGGCTTAGGTAGGGAAATCCTTTATGCAAGGGTAATTCCCAATGTGCATGGTCAGCAGAAAATACTGACCGCCATCAGTGTGAAATGGCCTGGAAAGAGGCATCCAGTGTCTGGTGCACCAAGTGGTTGTATTTCCCAGTGTCTGCTGAGAAATACTCTGTTGCTTTTTGTTTGCAGTCATTATTGTCGTTATCTTCTGCTCTGTTTGTTTTTGATGATCCTGTAGTTGGTATCAGAAGACAAACTCCCATGAAAATGTTCACATTTATGTAATACTCAGCGTCTCCTGAAGCAAAGAACACTGCTAATTGGTTTAAAGGGTGAATGAACACCAACCCAAAAGACAGACTTCTAGATACACACAGATGTATATCCCTGGGGCCTCTTGTCTACATTATAGGGTGGTGAAGCAGAGACTATTCCCCTCTCTTTGCAGATTGTATTCTAGAGCAGATCTCTTCCCTCCTTCTCTCTCCCTCCCTATCCTGCCTTGTCAATTTCAGTCTCCCTTTTTCTCTATTCTCTCTTCCCCTCTTTCAGTCTCCTCTTTGTCTCACTCCTCATCAGACACTATTTGGGGAGGGCGGGGTGAAGGGCAAAAAAAGATGCTACAGAAACCCCTGAACTTCTGAATGAGTTCTGTCTTCATAATTCTGAGGGTGCATCTCTCACCTCACATCATGTACAGTGCATTGGGAAATTAGACCATGGGGACTGGGGTGCACAGCTCTGTGAATGCCTGAGTATCTAAACCCCAGATCTAGAGGACAAGTAACCCTGTGTGAGTGTGTGTGTGTGTGTGTGTGTGTGTGTACGCGCGTGCTCAATTGTAGCAGGCACAAATGGAAAGTCAGGTTTATTAAGCACCAGGTGTAGCAGTAGAACTTACTAGAAACTGCCCCATATCGACACCATGTTTATTTTAAATATTGTTATCTTGTAAGTAGTGCATCTCAGATCTTCCACAGTTTTAGACTGAACAAGTGGAGCCATTTAAATAGAAAATACAGGTCTAGTTATAAAACTTAGCACTTTTAACAATAACATATTCATCTGAAGATGAATCTCATTCATCCATAGCTCTGTTTGTAATGTATCAAAAAGTATAAAATGCATAATAATGCATGTTATAAACACAAATTTAGCCACGCGACCAGCACGCTAGCTTCATAATAGAGGTTCGAAAGCATAAAAATTAACTAGTGAGTTTTAAAATTAAAGAGACATAACCCTCGTTACCTTATTTGCCCAGCTCAGAGACGGCCCCTCCTAGCTCCTGCCTCCAGCCACCTAATGTGGTGGCGAGGTTAACACGAGAGGCCAGCGAGAGGGAACACGCCAGGGAGTGAGCTTTTATTGGGGAACAAAAAATTCAAGGAAAAATTCCATCCAATGAAGGTCGAGGGGGGCAGCATTCCAAGGTCAGGATCAGTGATTGGTCTTCGGATCAGTGGTCAGGCACAGCCCAAAAGGACAAGCCCTCGCACCTGGGACAGGTGGGGAAGGCTCTGACACGGCTGTGTCTAAGCGCCTCTCACCCAGCCAGGGAGGTAACTCAAATCACGTGTGAGAATGGCTTCCCACACACAAATAACTATATAACTAGAGTGCAAATTAGGAAATAAAAATTAAAAAAAACAGATGCATTGCTTTGTGCATTCAAGAGAGAGAGAGAGAAAGAGAGAGAGAGATGACCCAAGCCAATAAGATTAAGAAAGGATTTAGAGATTTAGAAGCCTCTTAGCTGAGCCTCTAAAGGTAGTAAGAAGCAGAAGAATGTTATTAGACATATGATTCCTGAAGAATTATATATTTCACTAATAAAGAATGATGATAATTTTTACTTATATTCTAGGTGCTAAACTGAGTGCATTAAACAAATTTTATTTTACAATTTATGTTTTCCAAAAGCCTATGTGAAGTGTAAATTATTATTATTTTTTTATTTTTGGTGAGGTTATTTAACTTCTCCATATTGAACAAGGTCAGCTGGTGGAACTGGAATCCTTAGCTGTTGAACAACAGGAACAGCACTCCAACACTTTTTTTTTTCTTTTTAGTTATACATGACAGTAGAATGTGTTTTTGGCAAATTATACATACATGGAGTATAACTTATTCTATTTAGGATCCCATTCTTGTGGTTGTTCATTTAGCAGAGTTACCCTCGTTGTGTATTCAAATACAAGGCTAGGAAAGTTATATCCAATTAATTCTACAGTCCTTTCTATTATACCCCCCTCTCCCTTCCATTCAATCCCCTTTGTCCAATCCATTGGATTTCTATTCTTCCCCTCCACACCTCCATGGTTTAGCATTAGCATCCACATATCAGAGAGAATATTTTGGTCTTTGGTTTTGTCGGATTGGCTTATTTCACTTAGCATGATATTCTCCAGTCCTATCCATTTACCAGCAAATGTGATTCATTATTCCATTATTCTTTATGGCTGAGTAATATTCCATTGTGTATATATGCCACATTTTCTTTATCCATTCATCTGTTGAAAGACACGTAAGTTGTTTCCATAGCTTGGCTATTGTGAGTTGAGCTGCTATAAACATTGATGTGGCTATGTCACTGTATTATACTGTTTTTAAGTATTTTGGAGAAAATCTTTACCACAAATACCTTGGATATAGCATTAATCTCCAGGTTATACAAAGAACTAAAAAAAAAATTGACACGAGAAAAATAAATAACCCAATCAATAAATGGGCAAAGGAACTGTACAAATATCTCACAGAAGATGACATATGAATGGTCAACAAATAAATGAAAAAAATGTTCAACATCGCTAGCAATTAGAGAAATGCAAATTGAAACTACACTGAAATTCCATCTCACTCCAGTCAGAATGGCAATTATAATGAATACAAGTAACAACGAATGTTGGTGAGGATGTGGGGAGAAAGTACTCTCATACATTATTGGTGGGATTGCAAATTGGTACAACCACTATGCAAAGCAGTATGGAGATTGCTTTAAAAACTTGGAATGGAACCACCACTTGACCCAGTTATCACACTCCTTTATCCAATACTCTTTTCTCCAATGTTTGATCAGAGGAAGCGACTAGGCAAAAGATAGAAAGCAAAAAGATGGTGGCATGTTTGGGGAACAACAGATACAGTTTTTTGACCATGTAGTGACCAGGTGGAAGCAGACAAAGCTGGATAGGCAGAGGACCCCCATAAAGGTTTAGCTTTCAAAGATTCCTGAAGGTTCTTGACCAACATCATCTTTCAGAAACATTAATCTAGCAGCAACATAGTGAAGGTTTCCAAAGTGGAATGGCAGCTGGGGTACAACTGCTGAAAGATTGAAGGAATGTGGTTCAACGAGGAGTGATGTGTAACACCCACTGGCCAAGGTCTAAAGTTTGGTACCAACTCTCGTTGCAACCTCGGATAAATCCTTCCACCTCACTGGGCTTCCATGTTCTCATCTGCAGAAAGTCTATAAATTTCCCTTTCAAATCTAAATTTTTGGCAATTAGGAAGGAAATTAAGGTAATTTCATGAGCACAAAGACAGTTATGAGTATTTGAGATAAACTCTAGATTGGGACTGAAGGTCACAGTGATTGATACCAAAGGTCAATGGAAATAAAAAGCACATGAAAAGTGTGGGACTGCCATCAGGATTTATTTTAGATATGCCCATTCTGAGATGTTAGGAGACAGACTGGAGATGTTCACGAGGCCAATTGAAAAAGAAGCCCTCGAATCCAACGATGGGGTCTTGAGTGGGATTCAAATTTGGAAGCTATTGACATGGACAGGAAAATAGATGGAATTGCTTAGGGACAGACTGTGGAAATGAGGGCAGTGAATCAATCAGAACTGGCTCTAGTGACACTTGAAGGAGAAACAGAGAACTAGGCTCCAGGCAAGGAGTGGCCAGAGAGGTAGAAATTCATAGGAGGCTAGGGAAGGGACACTTCAAGGACAAAGGACTGAGCAATCAAGACTGAATGCTTTGGAGAGTTTCTTGGTCTAAAACTGCAATGATTCCAAGAGGTGATGCTGATGTAAGCCAGGTATCAGAGGGAGGGGACTGCATAAAATGTGGCTTCGAGTACAAAATAGGTTCAGAGGCATTTGCAGGAAAAATGACTTGAGAAACTCCAGAACAGGGTCGGGTTTTTTTATCCTAGCATGGTCCATAGACCCACTTGCATTAGAATTACTGGGGTGCTTGGTGAAGTTTCAGACTCCTGGGCCTCCCTCCAGAACCACTGGATCATAATCACTGGGGAGAATGCTTTGTGTATCTTCAGTTTAAATACCTCTGTCCCTCAATAAATCTGATCTGTGCGGGGCAGGGTGATTCAACCTGTTTTTCTAGTGAGCAGAGAGAGTCACCAGAAAGAGATCAACTAAAGAGATAGCAAGGCCAATGGAGAATCCTGAAAAGGCCAAATGGGATCTAGGGCTCCAAAGGAAGGAACAGCTAAAGAAAGTCTCCACCTGTGGCCAGTGACATCTGTTCACTATGTGGAGATCCAGGCTCAACAGTGTCCAGCATGACTCCCTGAAAAGACCTTGCTGTACCTCCCCTCCTGTTAATAATGTCTTCCATCTACAGTGACAGTCTTGATGCCAGAGATGTACCAGGGGCTGAAGTCTCGGCAGAAGCCAGAGCCCCCGATGAGTTCCACAACCCTCTCAGCAGCAGCGAGGAGAGTACAGGCAGCTGGTCCCAGCTGGCCAACGAGGAGGACAACCCAGATGACACAAGTAGCTTCCTGCAGCTCAGTGAGCGATCCATGAGGTACCTGTCTTTCACTTGACTCCCAGGGAAGCTGCTCTCAACATATTACAGAAATGCAAAGTGTCCCTAATACAGAAAAGTCAAAAAAGAAAGCCACCATGGGGTCAAGGTTCCTGCCTGTCATGATTTGTGCTGAAAGGCATCTTAATATCCAGTTATGCCTTAAATTACCTCGGCCAAAGTGAAGAGTTTGTTCCCTTCCCTCAAAGCCCAGATAATGCATTCTGTGATAACAAACTTCTGGGATTTGGGGGGGGGGGTTGTTTGTTTGTTTGTTTGTTTTGTTTTTTAATGGAGGACTTCTATTACACTGGTGTGTTTGAACTTTGTTTCTGGTTCATTTGTATTTCAGATGCAACACAGGCTGGGTCTACATGACAGAAGCTGTGTTGTGTGTCTTGATCTGACTTTCCTCCCCTTGACCTCCCCGGTCCTCTGTATTGCTCCTTCAGAAAAGGCAGAGAGGAGTTTAGGAGAGATAAGATTTGGAAGGATTTGAGACAGTCAGGAGATATGTACTAAAAGCTATTCCTCTGTGAAGTGGAACCTCCACAAGAATCTCTGTGTTTCTGTTCCAAGTCTTGTTTGACATTGAACCAACAAACCCACAGATGTTCCAGAGAGGGCAATTGGAAAGTGAGATTCCAAAGCATCTGGATATATGTAGAGCTCTCTGGAAATTCTATTACTGACAGTTGAGTCTGTTTAGACTTAGGGATATTTCATAGTGTTAAATAATTTGTCTAAAATTTTTAAAAAATGTGGGAAAATGCCACAAAATAGAGACAAAAAAAAAAAAAAAAACAGAAAGAACTTGAGACTTTTCACTCAACAGAAGTGTATAGATTATTCACCTCCAGTATAATTTTGAGTCATCAGGTTTTAGTCTGTGAACATATTGAATGTCTCACCTGAAATTTCAGACAAGAATTTAAAATTGAGGGAGTTGGGTTGGTGACTCATGGTATTCCTGAAGAAAGCCGAGACAGTCCCATTACATGACACACCCTTTCAAAACCTTGCTTAGAAGAGACATCACTGGGCAGTAGAGAAGGTGTGGGGAAACTCGTGAGTTGCTAACAGCAGCCACGTTCCACTTCACAAGGGGAGACAGAGCCTTCAATGTGGCTCTACTCTGCTGTGTCTCAGTGAGCAAGGCTGGCAACTAGACCATGTGTTAATTGTGCAGCCTGTGAAAGTGACACACTATACAATATGTGATCCTCCTCCTTCTCTATGATGTGTCATCCCTTCTGGAAGACTATAAGATGGAAGAGTGATAAAATTTGACATTACCCAACTTGTAGGAAACTCAAGCCAGGTGCACATCCTATGAAATCCTATGGAACGTCCCTGAGAAAAATCTGTGAATGGCAAAGGGACCACATGTATGAGTCCACAGGTTTCTATCAAAATCCAAGAAGCAAACAGATAAGCATTCTGGTATCTCTCCCAGACAGTATTTTCAGGAACATCTTCATCCTGCAGACAAACCCAGAAGCAGGAAGTTTTTTGCTGGTAGATAAAATCTTTCCCTCTAACCAGAATGAAGAAAGAAATAGCAATTCTGATTATTACCCACTAGGTAGGATCTACCAGGTGTGACTGTAAATTATCATAATAATGATAAAAATAGTTGTTATTATTATCAGCTTGAGCCTGTTAAACAGCTTCTGTCTTGTGTTTTCTCCTAATGTGATTAAAAACCAGTATCAATGAAGGACTCCCAGACACACTGCAATGTTTTTCCAGGGACCTAGGGAAGGACCTCTTACAACAATGGAGCATCAGTGTCAATAGCATGGTCAGGGGGTGGAGATGGGCATTAATATGTAAACTTTTGCTTTGTCAGCAATGGCAACAGTAGTGCCACTAGCAGTCTTGGCATTATGGAGCTGGACATTTATCAGGAAAGCATACCATCTTCTCCCATGATTAAGTAAGTAGCCACTGAGATGCAGTGATTGTGAGACCACTACTCCAATTCCATCTGGCAATCCATTTCTATCATTCAGGTCGTGCCCAACCACTGATTCCATTGTGTCTGTGCTGCTGTGGTTTCATGTCACTAGAGCAAGGACTCAGGACCTAAAACAGGCCTTTGCCCTATCACTACTTGCTTTCTTGGTTTCCAATCTGACCCCTGTGGAATTTTATTTCAGATAAAGTTTACCATTATAATCGGAAGTGTATGTAATTTTACTTACTTGGATATATAGAAACCAATATTCCATTTAAATTGTACTATTTACTGTTCTTCACTATAGAATATACTCACTTCAATTGAGTCAAAGTGAATGATTTTTCCTATGCTTGTGGACACACCTGAGCTCACTACTAAATGTGTCTAGTGCCAAATGGTTGCCATAATGGAGATGTGTGACTACCACATGGGAACTTCTAAAGAATAAAGGAAAAAAACTTAGATAAATGTAATATGTACTACATAACTATAGCACAGAAAGGCAGGACATCACAAAAATCAAGACTACTTACAGAATTTGTGATTACTCTGGAAAATTAAAACCAAAATCTTAAAATTAAAATCCAAATTAGAACCAAAAATCTTTGTTTGATATTATGGCTTAGCTTATTATTTGTAGATTTCTGAAATTTTAGAAAAATAAAAAAAGTTGAGGACTAAAGTTGCTAATTAACCTATTTTCTCAGTCACTTTCTACATCTAAAGAGCTTTATTTCACCATTTCATCAGAGATTTTTCCTCAGCAACTGAAGGTCACAGTGAATCCTATGTGGTTCCATTGGGCCATTATTCAACACATTATTCTTTATTCTTTAAGGAGAAACCCCAAATAAAACAAAACAAAGCTAATTTGGGGTAGCATTTGTTTAGGGACTTTTTCCATCATTCTCTGTAGTATGAGCCTAGACTCAGGGAATGTCTGTCTTCAGGGAAAGTCAAGACCACAATCTCCATTCACAGCCTCCTGCAGCTCCACGGACATCACTCACAGACCAAGTAAAAAATCTAGACCCTTAGGAAACTGGCATTTCTACAAATAGTTAGGTATGGATGAAAAGAATAGCTACACTCTTTCTCTCAACATCAGTGGAATTTATCATTACAATGGAATTCATCAATATAATCAAGCATATGAGCCAGATCTTAATAGCAACAGAGAACATGAAAGAGTTCTCTATTATCAATAGGTACATTTTTAAGAGCCTAAATCCAACTTTCTAGACAGTATAAAAATATAAGACATTCACAGGCTTCCCAAGATGGCCACTTCCATTTATCTGTGGGCCATATGATCACGTATTGGAAACCCTACTGAGGCTTCCCACTACCCAGAAGGCTCTGTAATAAGCACATACCAGGGGAAGACACCTCCAATATTCAACATCACCATAGCTAATGAAATACCTTCAGTTAGGAGGCCCTTGTTTTAAGATAACTTCCAACCTACTAAATTCCTCCACAATAAAAAAAGAAAAACTTCCATCCAGAGAGATATTTTGCTGTAAAATTTAAGTTCTGCAGTTTATCCATTGTCTTTTGCCTTATTCCAGAATGAAAAATGATGTACAAGTAAAATACTAATTTTCTATATTAAAATGCAAATATATATTCCTAGCATAGTACAGAGGGGAAAAAGCATTTGACAAGATGGAAACATATGATTCATTGAATGACAAGTAAAATATATGATAAAGATAAGTCCCCAAATCAGAACTCATTACCCAAAAATCTCTCCTTAACTGTTCAGCCCTGTGAAGTTTTATAGAAAGGAGGCTGAAGAGAAGGAGGCTGGGGTCTCCCACACCCATTGTCCTAACTAGAGCCGTTCAGGTTGAACAGGTGAAGGAGGCTATTTGCTGCAGACAGCACCCTATGTCATACTACATGGGCTTCTCCCAGCACTAGGTTGCTCTATGAGAACGACAAATCTAGAATGAATGTCAGGAACTTTCAGTTCAGTAAGACCCATCACCTCATCTCCCATTTAGAGTCTGTTCTTCCTAAACATTACCAACCATATTCTATTGTTTTCTCCCAAAGTGAATTAGTAGAAGAAAAGGAGATTCTTAAAGAACAGTCTGAGAGCATAAAGGGTAAGCCCCGTTCCATAAGTTTGACACACAATTGCCTGCATCTCCCTTTGGGAAGTGGAGTAAAACCGTGGTCGTGTCCATTCAGAACAGGCACCTGGAATGGCAGTGAGAGCCACCAGTCGCCAGAGGAGCCTGCTGGTGATCAACTTCGACCTGGAGCCAGAGTGTCCTGATGCTGAGCTTAGAGCCACTCTGCAATGGATAGCTGCCTCGGAATTGGGAATTCCCACAATCTACTTTAAGAAATCTCAGGAAACCCAGATTGAAAAGGTACCATGTTCCATGTTTGGGGAGGGTATCAATAATGCTGTGTGTTTAATCACTCCTGGAAACTCAGTAAATGCCCATGGAACTATTATGAATTTGAAGTATTTCATCTTGACCTTTCTGGGCCTCAAAATTGTGGCAAGAACTTTGAAACTCTCCACCTATACAGGTATAGTCATGATTGCTGTTCTTTTGAGACTCCACTGGTCCCAACTGGTTGGTGGCAATGAGAAAAGTAAATAGAAAAAATATATATATTTTCTGTCATTTTTTTAGTGCTACCTTGCTCTGGAGACCAGCCTCTTTGTAACAATGAATTAAATCAAATATAGGAAGAAATGACCCAATATGTATTAAAAACTAAAGTGAGGCCACACTGATATTCAAAATGAGCCTTGATGTGGTGTAAAAGAGGAGACATGTTTTAATTCTCCACTAAGCAATTTCACATTAGGGGAAACTTCTCATTATCATTTTTCATCTTCCAGAAATACAAAGCTGAGCAGCAGATCCTAAGCCAACTTCACAATGAATAGCAACTGTCGCTGTGATTCCATGTCTCCAAAATCTTTTTTTTATCTGTAATAGAATTCAACCACGTGAATCCATTGGCCATGTCTTCAAACTACAGCTCCCATAATTTAAAAGATATCAGATTGATGGCAACACCATATTAGTTTTCCATTGCTGCTTAACAAATCCCCTAAAATTTACCAGCTGAAAAAACGCTCAGCTCTGCAGACCAAAAGTTCAGATGAGTTTGACAGTGATTTTCACTCAGATCTTACAAGGTTGAAATCATAGACAGCCTGGTTGAGCTCTTCTATGGAAAGTTCCAGGGAAGAATCCATGTCCAGCTCATTTGGGCTGCTGTCTTCATTCAGTTCTTTGCAGTTGTAGGACTGGAACTCCCATTTCTTTGCTGGGTTTTCCCATCAGGCAGGAGCCCCTCTCCACTTCTAGAAGCCACCCAGCTCCTCACTGCATACCCACTTTGTGTTTCCACACTGTCAGTCTGGTGTCTTTTGCCAGTAGGCAGAGAAAATTCTCTGCTTTCAAAGGATTCGATTAGGTTTCCCTGATAGTCTCCCTCTCCATCAAGTCAAAATTAACAGGAATCCCTGCGACCATGTAAGGTGGCAGAGTGAGGACTTGCTCTCTCATGCCATTCATGGCCCCAGGGATTAGGGCAGAAATTGGGGAGCTGTTTTAGGACCCTGCCTGTCACAGCCACCATGTATCTTTTTCATGTCATATTGTCCCAAGGAGCTTCTATGTACCTCAAAATGCATTTCTTAATAGCCATGTGAGAATTGCAGAATACATATATATACACATTTTTATTTGGGGGGTAATCGGGGATTGAACTCAGGGGCACTCAACCACTGAACCACATGCCCAGCCCTATGTTGTATTTTATTTAGAGACAGGGTCTCTCTGAGTTGCTTAGCCCCTTACTTTTGCTGAGGCTGACCTTGAACTCATGATCCTAGTGCTTCAGCCTCTCAAGCCACTGGGATTACAGATGTGCACCACTGAGACCAGCTGCAGCGTAGATATCATTGCCCCTTTTTTACTAATGAGCAAAGCAGGAGTCAGAGAGGCTGGTACGTGAAATGTTGGTCTGATAGTAACAGTTGAGCCAAGTCCCCAAGCTCTGCTTTCTCTATAAGACACTTCTCAGCCATTCTTTACTAAAAAGTACTTCCCTCAAGTTAAATGAATTTAAGATTACAATCTGGAATTCATTTATTTATTTATTTTTGTTGCTAGGAATTGAACTAGGTGATATTTATCACTGAGCTGCACACCAGTCCTTTTTTGTTTTTTTAGGCAGGGTCTCACTAAATTTCTTAGGGCCTGGCTCAATTGCTGAGGCTGGTCTTGAATTTACAATCCTCCTGTCTCAGCCTTCTGAGTCACTGGGATTACAAGTGTGCACCACCAAGCCGGCTACTCTACATATTTTTAATGTGTAATTTCATTTTAATTTTCAGTACCAAAACCTATCAGCCTAAAATAAAATGTTCTTTACCCTCTTGCCCATTTCCCTGCTAGTTAGAATTGGTTTCTTGCCTCTGTTAAACCAGCCAATGGGATTAGCTACTGGAAAAATCAAGGAGTTCTAATCCCTTTCCCATGCCCTCTCCCACCTCAGCCTCTGCCTCCAACCAGTAGTGCATACCTCTTTGCATGCCTAGGTCTGCCTACCAGTCCAGAGTTAAGTCTAGGCATCCTCCTACACTGAGCATGCTTTCTTTCTGCAAAGTGGTGAGTAGGTCACTGTTTAATAAACTCTTCTTCCATTTTACCACTCAGCCTTCTCAGGGCAAAGGATGGAGTGATAGAGCATAAGTCCGTCTCACTCTCACACACATCATACAACAGGGAGGGCAACTGTGAACAACCTCAGGTTCATAGACAGGTTGGTTTCCAACCTTACCTCTAGCTACTCCCCAGATAGAAGCATTTGGGTGGTGTCTTGATGGAACAGATTACTAATGTCTTGATTATGGAAATCATATGAGATGATCTCCATCTGATTTTCTATTCTGAAACAGAATGCCTGTCCTCATTCATAACTATTTTTTTTCTGAAAATAAATCTTCCACTAGTGTTATTAAGAAAAACATTAAATGACATTTTACGCATTCAGTTAGCATTAAGTTAAGGAATTTAATTCTAAATAATGTGATTTTAGGGGATAATTCTTCTAATATTTTTTATCCAGCAGTTAAGGCTATCTATATTTAGTGGCTTTACCACAAACGGGAACCACTTTTGGTCGTCTAGGACTGAACTGGTAAATAAATGAAACGTTTAAATAACATTTAGACATATCTGCTTTCATCAAAGGTGATCTTTGAGACCTCATTCTGTTTTGTAACTGGACAAGTGGTTACATAGTTATTGTCAGGAGGGGCATCTAGATTTCATTTTCTTTCTTTTTTTTTTTTTTTTGGATAAATTAAATCAGTCATCATGTTTCTCTTTACGATATTCTCAACTTAGTAACCTGTGCTAAGGAGGAGGAGGATCTCATGAGTGTCTACTAGAGTAGCTCATCTTTCCCATCATTGCTAGTGAACTTGGCCCTGAGCTGGAGGGTGCTTAAAGACAGCTTGGAACTGATTCCAGCTTTAGTTCAAATCCACAGGCAACTTTCAAGTATCCTGGGAGCCCAGTGTTCTGTCACTCTTCTAGTGACACACAGCAGCTTCATTTTCCAAACTTTTCCTTTCTTTGGTATTTTGTCTCATCGTTAAAAGACTATCTGCCCTTGAAAGTCACATTCAGAACATTCATCAAATGCTTACGGAGTATCTTCAGCATGTCAGGCCCTGCTCTAAGCTCTAGGAATCCAGGGAACAAAAGAAACAAATTCCTACTCTCTCAACGTTTACATTCTGGTTCAGGAGGAACCCAGAGTAGGGAGACCATAAATCAAAAGAGGCTCAGATTGTAACCTTGAGATGTGATGGCAGCTCATTCTGAACAAGGAAAATGAGCAACACACATGTTTTCAAAGCATACCCATGAGCCAGTTGAGTACAACACAAGATCACATGGGGCATTTACTCAGAGTTCAGATTCCTAGGCTCCTTCTGGTCTCATTCTGATGACCTCTAAAGTCTGAGATCCCCTCCCATAATAGATATCCTGAAGGAGTGGCAGAATTCACAGTGGTCTTAAAATATGCTAAATTCCATGGGAAAGACTGCTGAGAATCCCAACACCTGATACCGGAAAATGTTTACAAATTTAATTTATAACATCCTTGACATCGTTTAAATTTAACCCCATTAATTCAAGGCAAAAAAACAAAAACAAAAACAGAGAGAGAATCATGCACAAAACTGGTTAATAAAAGAAAACAACAATCCAGTGGCTAATAGTCATGATTTTGGGATCCAAAGGTCTTGGCTTTGCAGATCTGTTTAAGGTCGCTGAGCTTCCATGAGCTGGGGTAGGCTGATGACTGTCCTCACAGCAAATCTGGTGCCTTTTTTACCTTTAAACCTGCATTGAAAATTACTTTATTTTCTTCAAAGAACAGAAAGGAATAGCGCAGAGAAGCAACAGGTACATGCTTACCTTCCTAAGAAAGTGGGGGCCGGAAAAGAGCTGGCCTTGCCTCTTATTTCTTATTCCACATGAAAAGTGATAGAAAGAGAATGAGAGAAAAATGTTGATGGTATTGATATAACTTTTCCCAAAATAACTCCAATTAAAATATCAGTTCTAAATAAACATGTCACATAGAAAGGAAAAATAAGGAAGCATTCGAGGTACTAAGGTTTGTCATTTGTAAACCCAAGAATTGTCAGGGAACAGAATCCATTAGTCGGGATTCTCAAATTTAGTGAGGGTTAAAATCACCTGGGAAGGTTTTACAAACCTACTGTTCTGACCAGTTAGTTCAGAAGCTCCTCTTTGACGACACCCAAGCATCAGAGTTTGTGAAGGATTCCAAGACACAGCCAAGCCAAGAATCACGTCTCTATAGGCCATGAGTTTAGGAGCAATCTAAGCACCAACCAACTCACTTGTGCTTAATGAAATCTAATTCTGCCTTGGAGTAAAACATAGCAGCTATTTTCAGAAGTGTAAGCTGAATGTTTCCAAAAAAGTGAACAATCCTGTAACGGCTCCCATTGATCCTACCATATAATTTTATCAGAACACAAAAGTCATCTACTATTTGATGCTTTTCCTTCAAATGAATCTGCTAATGATAAACTCTCACAGAACATGGATTATTTTAGTTTCCTAAGACAAATGCTCAAGAAATGCCCATTGTGATCTATATTAAAGGAATCTAATTAGTATTGATAGTGGAATGGCAAAAAATAATTTTCTTGTTTTTATTTTTTTAAATCAGTTAGGGTTAGGGTTAGGGTTAGGGTTACCCAGATCTTTGACGTACTAAAGCTGATGAGGAAAATACAGAGGCGACAGCCTGACAGGCACCATCAAGGCTCTAGGGCCTGCTGCTAAATAAATGTGGGTTTAAAGGCCATAATAATGAAGTGGAAATACCTTCCTCTCGCTTCTTCACAATCTTATTTCATTTTTATATGAACTTTTTAATAAAGAAAGCATGAGAGCTTCTTGCTCCTCAACTCCACAAATGTTTCAAGGTCTCAATGTCCAAGTCATCAGAGTCTTGGAACATGCTATGTTTGGTGGGGCCAGATCATTTTTAAAACCTACTCTATTGAAACGTCAACCTATTGAAACTTAGCAAGTGTGAGACAGATTCTAGCTCCCGGCCATCGCACAAACTCCTGGCCTAGTGATCTACCTGCTGGGATATTTCTGCCCCTTTGGGTCAGCCATCAGCATCCTGTGGTCATCCTGTGGTCACACAGCAGTGAGATGCTCTCCTTCACGGGCCCCAAAGAGATGGAAAGAAGCTTTAGTCTGGCTTCCAGAAAAATCTGAAGCAGCAAGCCTGGAAGTGTCTAGCAAATATTGGCATCTGCCCCTGATCTTTGATTCTTCCTCCACCCCTGGGGAATGAATGTGAGATCAAAGCTGATCAGGTGGTAGCCCAGAAAGTCAAGGTTTACAGAGAGAAGGCAGAAAGGAGCTAAGGCTGGCTTTATATTTCTATGTATTTTGCTTTGGATGCGTCTTTATAAAACTTGCTAAGGAAGAGAATGAACCTTCAAGAAAAGACTTTGGCCAAAGGCCACTGATGAGCTTTCAGGGAAACCATGAGAAAGAAGTCAGTGAGCCATGAGCCTCTCTCAGTGGGTCCCCAGGACCCTGATGTGCAGGCCTTCTCCACCAGGAGCATCTACTTCCCAGATTTCTAGCAAGTGCTGGGAAAGGCTGATTCCACATGCAAAGTCCCACCCTTTCCTTCTTTTCCTCCTCTTCAATCAAAGAATGACTGGAAGCTTTTTTTGCACAGAGGTATAAACAGTGGTTCACAAAACTCTTTCTAGGTAAACCACTAGTAGCCACCTGGAATGTTCCCCTTCCTAAGGGTATTTGCATGACAAGCAAAGCCTTCACCTAAGGGTTTGTATCTCTTCCTAAAATGTTAGGGATCAGACAAGCAGGAAAATGTCAGGATGGTGAAGGGTTCCAGGCAACTGTGTTCTCTGTAACTCTAACTAGACTGACGGACCTGAATGAGCTGACTATCCACTGCTGTTGTAGTGAGCAGTAAAAAGAGGGGGCTGCGTCTTTCTTCCACTCTAGGGCCTTAATGACCTACTTGGAGGCAGGCTCTACTGACAAGCTTCTATTGAGCTCCATGCCCACTACCATCATCCCCCTCCAGGTTTTCTTCAGACTTTCCCTAGATTCATGACCTCTGAACATTTTCATGGATCACCCTAGTAGGAAATTATTGAGCAAACCCCTCCTCCCATATGCATGTTTATTTTTTTAATTATATGCATGACATTCAAATACATTACCTAAAATTAAAGAATGAATACTTGGTAAAAGTTTAGCCTCAGTGATGCTAGATGTCCATCCCTATTTCCAGTAGTTTTCTTGAGAACTTTGAATGTACTTGGTTTGCATTTGGTCATCCCTCCCTTCAGCAAATATTCACTGCGCACTCGTAGGTGCAGGCACGAGATATGAAAGCTAAGATATTATCCTTCCTGGGAGATTATTATCTATAACATGGTGGCCATCTGTCTCCCATTTGTGTCCCCTTTTACATCATCCTAAAACTCTTTAAAGACAACATTTATATTTCCAGGTATTAAAAGTTAAGTCTTTCATTTTTTCAGCCTCGAAAATTGCTTTATTTTGATTATGCAAAATACAAAGCAAGCAAGTACAATAAAGTGCTGATTTTTGTAACTGTGCATATAGTTGGGTGCCACCACAGCTGGCAGAAAGAACATAATTTAACAGCGGTTCTCCTTGAGACAACTTCTCAGTAATTAAAATGAATTAACAAATCCAAACTGGAAAGAAACTAACACTCCAGTTTCTTGCTGATCTCTGAAGTCTGAGAAAATGCAAAAAAAAAAAAAAAAACAAAGAAAAACAACAACAACAAAAAAAAAAAAAAAACAGGCAGAGTTTTAAAAAATATCCAAAAAAGAAACATTAAAGAAATATAATTGAATGCCAATTTTAATCTCTTTAACAAACAGGGCTTTCTTCCTCAGAATGAGGGCTTTCTTCCTCAGAATGATACCAGGATTCTCAGCCTATCCTTTCTCTTCATGTGAATGTTAATATACTGTCCTGGTACCAAAGTAGAGAAGGATGCCATCATCCAAAGAGCTCCGGACCACAGTGTTAGAAGCCCACGACCCTGCTGCCAACTTCTCATTTCTGAAGCCTGAGGTCTTTCATTGTGAATGGCTGCTTCCCAGGCGTTCAAAAGGAATGAAGCTAAACATGATTAAGTGCTTCCTGCAGCTTCAAGCTCTTATTAATTGTTACTTTTCTTTGAACATATCCGTCTAAGGAGTTTCACGCTGGGCTTTATCCTGTAGTTTCATGAAGATAATGACTGACAGTGATTTTTCCTGTCTTCCATCCCTCCAGGCCCACAATTTACTTGCAGTCTAGAATTCTGTTTCTAGCTGTGACCAATTGAAGTTCACACAAATGCCCAGGTGACAGATCTAGGGTGTTTCCTGAATCTTTCCTTTCCTGTTACTATTGGAAACTCTCTTGATGCTTGATCTTAGCACGTGAGGAGGAGAGATGCTTCTCAAGGTGGGTGAGGAACCAATACGTGGACCTGCCTGAGAGCTGGCACTGAATCTGTTTGACCTAAATAAGCACATCCAATGATAAATTCTTTGTGACAGTGACAGAAGTGAAGAGAGCCATGTTATAGAGCCTTGTTACAGGGGGTCTGTCTCAGAGAAAAGCAGACTTCGGGAAACACTAAGCATCCAAAAATCTGACACTGAAAAAAAGAATCAACATAAGCCTACTGTCAAGGTCCATGCAGGGCAGCAGCTATGTAGAAAATTCCAGTTCAGTTGAAGGGACCCTCCAATAATCTGAAATACCTCAAGGAAATATACCGTCCTAGAGAACAGTCCTCTGAGACTAGAGAGACTCACACACAGACTGGACAGCCACTGGTCTTGAAAGGGTGGTTCAGTAAGATGCCTTTGAGGATGTTGTATTCTGACTCTGTTTTGCTTTAGTTTCTAGATGTCGTGCGGCTGGTCCATCAGAAGTCCTGGAAGGTGGGAGATATCTTTCACGCAGTTGTCCAGTACTGCAAAATGCATGAGGAGCAAAAAGAAGGGACCCCAAGTCTCTTTGACTGGCTCCTGGAACTAGGATAAGACAGCTTTGCCCTGGAGAATGTCCTTCCTTTATCCTGGCATAGATCACAGTGGTTTGCTCTAAACACTCTGAACTTTCTCAAAACATCACATCTCATTAGCAGAACTATAAGGCATGTACGGCTCAAGTCCACTGGACATGGAATAAATTTGAAGGAAAGCAAAATAAAAGTCTACAAATCAATACAACCTGTTTGGATTATCAAAAGAGCTTGTGTTGGAAGAGCCGGAAGAGACATTCCAGTGGGGCCCAAGTTAGAAAGCTCATGATCAGGCCCAAGATATGGCTGGACTCACATAGGTTTAATAATGTAAAATGAGATGTCATGTCTCCAATTATATGAATCAACAGGAAACAAACTCACTGGTTAAAATAATTTTATAAACTATGCTATAAAGTTCATTTTACTTTTCAGAACAGACTGAGGGGTTGATAGCCCAGAGAGACACTTAGAATATGCAGGAGAAATGCCCAGACTTTGTATAAATAATTTCCACTTTCAGAACATTATCAGTGGATAATAACAGGAATGAAACAGTGTCCTCCACTGAGGCGATTTCATGTATTCACTGCAATCCACTAATAAACTTCCCACTTTTTGCCAACAGTCTCTGGGTTCCTGGCTAACCAGAAAACTGGTGGCATTCAACTAGACAGAGGAAGACTGAATACTGCCTTGGTCCCATTACTGCTTAACTTGGGTAAAAATTATTGTAGAATTCTTCATCTAAGGGAAAGCTTTCTTACTTAAAAGAAAAGGAAATAGTTCTTTGAGATAAAATCTGCTTATGCTTTGGATTATATGAAATATAAACTTTTGATTTATTTTTATTGTAAATTATGGAGAGATTATTATCTTAAATAATATATTGAGTAGTTAAGAGGTTTGGAAACCATGAAGAGATTGTCTGAAATCATATATTGGCATTGAGCTCAGGGTTTGTGTTCTGAACGTGGAGGGACTTGTGTGGCTGCCTGTTCTTCCAAGGACTTTATAGGGTTGGAGTCAGGGTAACAACCTTGTGTTGACCTGACCTTGTAGGTGGGATTTCAAACTTCTGACTCAGTGATAATGGCACTCAGTTTGAGAAAAAAAGGATTTGTCACATTTTAAATATTTTAATAACAGAGATTTACTCTTGTGAAAACTAAAGTTATCTAACATCTTGCTACATCTTTTCTCCCAACTAAATAAGCTACCTTTTACTTTCTTGATCAAAGAGTTGTTTAATAAGAATCTTCTGAAATACTCTGCTTTTACTGTGTTTTTAGACTGAGAAGTCATTTTGAACAAGGCCATATGCCATCATGCTGGCCTTACCATATCTAGCGCTCCCATCTTGAAATGCCAGGAAGGCTTCCTGTAAGCCATACTCCCCACCTCACCACCACCGTGGATGCCAGGAGTCTTTCTGAGGGCTCACTGGGCATTTATTACACAAATGGTCCAAATTTAGGTTGTATGTTTAGTTTGATACATTCACCAAATTTTAAAATCCATCCATTATCTCAAACTGAAATGTGCTTCTTTGTGCTACTAAATGGAAACTGATAGATTTATTTTTTAAACAATCCCAGAATATTGTATGTAGATGTTTGTTGTGCTTGAATAAATGTTTACTTATCCTACAAAGCACAAATACTGGATTGTAACCATGTGATGAAGTTATATATGTTGTACTAATGTTGCAAACTAATCAATAAATTTCTGTTGCCAAACTTTCAATCATTTTTTTTTTCTCCCAGAACTTTAAGCATCTCTTAGAAAACCTCATGATGTGATTAGATAAAATGAGTTGTACCCCTTAGATAAGTTTGGCTGTCCTGCTTTCAATTTTTGAATTAGTAAATGTTCTTTGATGAAATATGATAGAATCAGTAAAATTCGTATTAATCTGTTTCTCATCCTTGGTACTATTTACATGTGGAGTCAGATAATTCTCTGTTCCAGGGGTTGTCTTGTTTAGTAGTCTCCCTGATGTTTACTTATTAGATGCCAATAACTGCCTCCCTCCAGGTGCAACAACCAAAAAGTGTGTCTGGACATTACCAAATGTCTCCTGGGGGATAAAGTCAAGACTGGGTTTGGACCACTGGTGTATGAATGCACTGAAGGCACGGGCCCTGAGGCTTCAGGAGGTGTTACACTGGAGGAGGAGAGCCTGGAGCCCCTAGTCCAGGGAGTCCCAACAGAGGCCTGAAAACCAGCATCCCCTACCCAAGGCCCACGTGATATAGCCTTTACATTAAGTCTGGAGGACAGGAGAAAGAGACACAAGACCAACAAGGAGTCTACAGGCCTAGGGTTAACCAACCTAAACCCAAGTAAACCAGAGATTAATTCACCAGGTAAAGGCTGGGGAAATAAACCAGAATGTTTGCAAATAAAGCTTTGGAAATCATGGGTATGCTATTCATTAATAAGAAGGCACCAGTGTGCTCCTGTGAAGAAGAATTCTCAGTTGGCCAGGGGTATCTTCAAATAGCAACTCTGGACATTGGCAAGGAGAGACTATTTGAAAGGATTATTACAAGGGGGAAGGAGGACATTTCAGAGGTGATGGGGACTGTTGATAACACTCCAACATGAGATCAGCAAGGGTCTCAATGACTAGGCTTAAAATGACCAGGTGTGAGGACATGGGATGCATAGGTACAACCAAGCAGGGGGCATCATCAGGGAATATTTTATCCTGAGGTCAGCCAACACTCAGGAGGGGATTTGGGGGGAGGGGCTGTATGCTGTATCAGGTCAGGATGAGTCAAAGTCTAGGGGCCCAAGCTAAAAAAAAAAAAAAAGAAGAAGCTTAGCTTAAGCTTACCAACAAGTACTGTATTCCAATAGACCAGTGGATACGGTTTAGCTAACCCCAAGGTGGAAATTTAGAGGGTCTGTGCCTAACCTTGTCATCAGTGGGTATTATCTAAGTTATATGGGGAAGAATGACTTCTTGCAATAAGCTGTATTCCAGAACACAAAATTAGGGGAGAATTGTCTGACGATGGCTGTTCAGCAGCATCACAAGGCTCAGGTAAAGTTCATAGTGTAGCAAGACTCAAAGAATAATCCTAATGGAAGCATTATCCCTGACTCTTGCTGGAGCCCACTGGTCTTTCTTCCACAGAACAAGTGCATGTCCTCCCACTTAGCAAACACCCTTTGAGTGACTACAGGGTGTCCACATCATGTTGGACAGCTAGAATGAAGTTCTTCAATCTGGGACCACAGCACTCATAGGCTACAGGGGAAGCAGACACTTCAAAACCTAGTAACACAGCATAATAATTGCTAAAAAGGAACTCTCCTCAGACTGGCAAAGGAGAGAACACTGGGAAGGGAGTATTTATTGCTGCCTGGTGGCATGTGGAGCCACTTTCAAGGAGAAAATATTCAAGTTTAGTTTTTTGATTATGAGGGAATCATTTAAACAAGTGGGGATTAGGAATGCTGAAGGCCTAAAGGAAGGACATTTAGAGCAAAAATAAGGTCATGAGCCATGATCTGAACATGCAACCTGAGATATGGACGGGAGATTGATGCAATTATAACATAGGTGTGAGCTGAAGAAGACACCAGATTTGAGGCTGGGGATTGAAATCAAAGTCACATTTTAATAATCTTTCTATTTATACCACAGATTCCCAAATGTATTTTGAAGCATGTTAATCAAAGGAGATACAAAACCAGATGTACATGTAAAAGAAATAACGTGAATGTATGTGTGACTCACTAAGCCATAGCTTACACCTGGGATAATGCCATGTAAGATTACTTAGTTCCTGGATAAAGGAATTCCCCCCATCTCTATGGCTTGTTTTCCTCACATAGCACAGAGCAATGGGGGTTCCCAAGACCAACTTCATTGTCAATGATATACTGGAAGGACTGATGGAACTCAGAAACCAGGTGTTGACTGCTATGATTTATTGAAACAAAGGGGTGGAATCAGATAAGCAAAGAAAAAAGGCACACAGGCTAATGTCCAGAAGAAATTAATGCAAGCTTCCAGGTGCTTCCTCCAATGGAGTTGCACCGGACGCACTTAATTCTCCAGCAAAGATATGTGAGAGCACAGGCAAAGTGTCACCAATCAGGACAGCTCCATCAAACTGTGGTGTCCAGGTTTTTTATTGGGTGTCAGTCCCATCACATGCACCCATGTGACTAATCTCAGCTGCTCATATCTCAGCACATCCCACGACCAAAACCAGGGGTTTACGATAAATCACATTAGTCATATAAATTATCTGGTCATACTGACATCACATGACCCAAGACATCAGGCATCCAAAACACTCTCATACTCTCAATCAGGCAGAACATTCCAAAGACTCAGCTCTTAGAGGCCAACCAAGAACCAGTTCTGAAAGTAGATTCAAGATTCTACTCTGATACTCTGGGCACACACAACCCAGGCACAAAGATTATTTTATGGCAAATTGTATTGTCCTTGGTATGAACACCTGGCCTAAATCTTTATACATACACATCTGTCTCTTTTATCACATCATGAAGAGCAGCACACAGCACAGATCGAGTAGGACTATGAGCGATTCTTCTCACAGAGGAAAGCAGAAGGAACCACCATTTGTTGAGATAGAATGAAGGTGGATGAAACCAGGAAGGGCCTTTAAAATGCTCTGAATTTTGCACTCCCTGGTGTGGCATTTGTGAAGTGCTCTTCTATTTTCATGTAGCAAGACAATTCTTTTCAACCTAGCATATTTTCAATAATAAGGGCCGTAGACCACATGTTGACCTTTCATAACCACAGAAGTGTTAGAGAAAAGCCTCACTAAATTAAATCAGTTATTTCCTCATTCATTTTGTTTGTTTGTTTTGGTACCAGAGATTGAATACAGGGGGGCTTAAACACCAAACCACATCCCCAGCCCTTTTTTATATTTTTATTAGAGACAGGGTCTCACTGAGTTGCTTAGGGCTTCACTAAATTTCTGAGGGTGGTTTTGAACTCATGATCCTCCTGCCTGAGTTTCC